CCCTCATATGAATGAAGCAATTCATGCGATAATTTATTAAAAAAAACATTAAATCTTGATAAGTCTCCGAAGAAACGTAGCCCTTACACAAATAAAGATGCGACAATTGTCTGTTTGGTGGTCGTATTGTGGCGCGCTGGCTAGAAGAGGCTCTTATTTTACGAAGTTTAGCTGAGTCAAGCAGAGGAAAACAAACTTGACTGTTTATACAAAAGTAAGCAAAAGAATGCATAGCGGGATGGGTCGAAGACCACTGAAGTCGGTAGACTTTCTGTTGGTTCCGAAACGATCGATTTGGGGTTGCGGAGACTAAAACGAACTGAGTGCCGAGGACAAAGGAGACAGTTGATCGAAGTCGAAACAGAACCTAGAGCGGAGGAGAAGAGGACTTATATATATATATATATATAGCTGTTCGGGGAGAGGCTTCATCCCAGAATCCCTTTGTGTTAGCCGTGCCAGCTGATGTCTGGCGTCAATAACAAAGACCACATCACAAGTATTACATTATTACGCCTTGATGCTTTAAAGGATGTTTAACTGTTGAATACACAGGTGAGCTTTTACGAAGAAAGGAGTCATATGGCTTAATTTTGATCAAAGAGGAAGAAAGGAAGGAAAATGAAAGGAAGATCAGAAATTAATATTTAATATTTTAAAGCTCATATTTACGCACAGTAGCAGGTAGGGACAAAAAAGGGACAAGAGGCACAGCACCAACGAAAAAATTCTTGGCTGATACAGCCCGCGATAGCGCATCATTTTTGGCCTCTCAAAATATGACTCTCAACGAGCTCTGGTGATAACAGTAGAAGCCCTACACTACACATTACTGGTGTCAGCACTCATAAGCATATTTCGCCTCAGAGTTCAAGTATATGCAGAGAAAGCGGGAAAAAGAGATTATGTTGTCCGAGTACAATCTCTCACATTAATAGATCGCATCCCATTGATCATGAATGAGGGGAATATTCTTGCGGCAAACAGAAATACCAATCTTGTGAGCCATTTCGATGTGCTTCGGTCTGCACAGCTCAACAGGAGCTCATGAACTTGCTGGCCCTTCTTCCATCCGATGGTCACTGTTAACCTCACAACGTAAGCGACACAATCGCACACGCAGTTCACTTCCAGGACAAGCCGCCAGAATAGCATTTTTGAAGCTAAAAACGCCCATTCCCGAAGGATCATCAAAAATACATGATCACCTTCGTTATCAGCCATCTCCATCCCACTGTTTAACAGAACACAGTTCTATCATTGCGGAGAGTGAAAACGGCCAATGCCGCGCCGGATGCACACACTCCCGAGAAGAAACGAACAGGAACAGCAGAAGCGATAAATCGGGGCACACAAACAGCGAAAATTTGACGAACTCGATTAGCTTCCAATTCTGTTCACAGTGTTCGGTCTGTCTATACAACTAAGGGATGAAACACAGACTGCGTCACAAGATGTTTTCATATACCAGACACTCAAGTGAAAACCTTCTATTCTTCCATTTCAATTCCTGAACAGAACGGTACCGCGAAGCGAAGCGCAATGTCTCAAAGCCAAGGGAAGTCGAGAGGGACATACAGCAGGGATAAGCTTGTTGTTTGCCCCCACCTCCGCACACACCGGAGATGGGGGCAAACAACAAGCCGAACGGACCGGAGGCCCAGGGAGGGATGATGACAGAAGCCAAAGATGCCCGCACTTCCGCAGCGCGAGATAAGTGAAGCAGGGAAACATGAAGAGAGTCGGATGACCGGCTCACAAATGCATAAGCATATCCAGCTCCCCATACCCCACCTCTTCGCTAGTTACTGACAACGAAACACACCGACCGCAGATCCCCCCGAGCCCCTACCCTTGGAAATTCATAGTGATACACTGCTGATCGCGTCGCACCCCAGGTAGTGCGATGCACTCAGTTGTTTTCCAGGATGCACTGCGGTGCATCAATATGGCAAAGCAATGTCTGGTCGGTGCGGGCAACTAGTAAAGCTCGGCTGCTCAGCCTGGATAGGCTTATTTGGGAGAGGAGTTCAATAACCTGAAGTGGAGGAATGAAAGCGGGGAAGAGGGAGGTGGTGGCCTAAGTCTCAGGGAGTGCAGCGGAATTACTGATTGGGAAGTGTCTGAGCCTTGCTTGAAGACATAAATTGGAAACAGACGGGTGCGGGGGAGGAAGCCACTGTAGGTGTTTCACGCTGAAAGTGATACGGAGGGGAGTTACCAGTTCTTGGACGTACTACCTGGTACCTTACCTAGACAAAAAGTCCGGTACAACGATTTCTGCAATTCGAACCAAAACTTAGAACTGAGTACATGCTAGCCGAATTTAAGTAATTACCTTTCTGAAACATTCTAGCGACAACTACTAAAACTCGGCTAGATGCACTCTGTTGTTTAGGTTGCGAGAATCGTAGTGGCAAGTGACGGGGTTTTTTTTTTGCTTTGTAAAATATGTATAGTTCTAATTATAAAATTATATGTCTTTTTTTTTCCTTTTTTTTACCCTATGACTCAGGAATGCCAATTCATTCCTGTGTGTTTACAATTCCCTCATTTTTGTCCTACGCCCTTTTTCATACCTACAAAAACCATTTCATTTTCCACTTTCTTATCTTCTTTTTGCCCCCTACCCCTATTCCCTTTTCCTTTATCATCCCCTTTTATCTCCTATTTCCCCAAAATTCCTCCAAATTATTACATTATCCCATGAGCGGGCACCCAACTCCCTTTATAAACCTCTTCACCTTTCTTCTGGGCCTCAGTTTTCGTGGACCAACGACGACTTCATCAACCCCGGCACTCCAGCTACAACTCTCGCCAACCTTACCTGTAGACACGACAAATACTCAGCTCCCTCCTTTTTCTCCTCGAAAGGTCTACTCCACCTCGAAACCCCGTTGTCGAATCTTCTGCTCAGCAGGCCAACCTGTTCGTCAGAGCCCAAGCATCACGTCTTGTGTATTGTGTATTGCTGTTGTCTACGTTGCAGTAACTAAGACATAAAATTTATCATTTATCTGATTGGCCCTCCAGCCTACGTACCACGCCACACAGCGATCCACTCACGTAAAATAACCCTGTCACATAAAAATTTTTACTGTTTCGATGTGGTCTTTGGGCGCAAGCACAAGCTCCAGTCGTCGTCCAGTTTCTTGCTTAGCACAACAAACCAATATAGCCCCTCCCCGTTCCTGTAGTCTATGCGCCTATTTCCAGTCCCTGTTCCCAGGCGAAGTCTCAGCTCCTTCCCCAGTTTCTTTACCTGTTTCTGTGCCCGTTAACAACATTGTTAACAGGTGGTTGTTGTTGGTAGATTTTCTTCTTCCGACATCCTGTGCATTATCAGATTTACATTTTTCGATGAACGGCGGATCAGCGAGAATTATTCATTTCCCTTCCTGCGAAATTGATAATCACGCGTGCTGGAGCTTCAAAGTGACCCCATGATGCAACGCCACTATCCTAATCGACATCCCTTCCCCCCTCCGTCCGCCCTCTCCCACGCATGTAAGGAAAGGTTAAAACGCAGCCAGCATGAATAGGTTGAAACCGTTCATGCTTTCAACGACCTGAGTGCTTCAAGTTTAGCACAAAAACGCACGATCGCAGCAGCAAACTTGATGCGTTCCAGCCTGGAATTTTAACTTTTATTGAACTTCAACTTTAAGTACATTCAGCAAAACAGAATAACTGTCTGAAATCGCGAAATGCGCCAAATTAAGCTTTGAGCAAATACCGCTCAGCGCATATTTTGTCGTCCACGTTTAACGCATATAGCCTGGCAATTTTCCAGAATTTGATAGGCTTCAGTGGCAGATACCTGTAGAATTTTGCCATTAGAAGACATGAACAAAACGTAAGTTTTGGCTTCCCAAAAAAAGAGCTTTTGATAAAAAATTTGAAAACGAGCAACTTGCAGACGACAAGTCAACTTCCCAAAGTACTATTTCTCTCAAGCTGTGCTGTCTGAAGAAGGTAAAGACGTTGATTTTTAGCCCGCGTTAAAGCGCTTTTGTAGTGGTAATGGTACAACGAGGATTTGAACAAAGTACTACGGGAAAAGATTGAAGTAGAAGTCGCAGCCTGAGTCGTCGTTGGTGCTACATCACAGACTGCTACGTTGTTGACTTTCATTCTGAAAACATCTGGCTGCCATCGGAACGTAGGCAGCTCCTGCAAAATCAGCCAGCTACTTGTTAATGATCTTAATCGGTGCTGCAGTGTCCACTCATATTAGCCAAACAGCTTTTATCCTGTAGATATGCGAATCCAGGGCGGTCTCCTTTTTCACTTCATCTTTTTCCTTCGTCATTAATCCCCTTCCACTCCCCCCCCCCCCCCCCCCCCCCCCCCCCCCCCCCCCCCCCCCCCCCCCCCCCCCCCCCCC